AGTACAGTGGATAGCGGCGCTGGACATAGCACATACATCGAGTGTTCATATTTCATAGGCTTATAGCTGTTTTACAAAAGTAAATAACCTGAGTGGACTAACTTCCGTAATTGCATGTTCTACAACCATGAGGGGGGTTTTTATATATATAAAATAAATACGTTGTCAGCGGTTGCGGTAGATGTGAAAAACTTGGTCTGCGATGGTTTATCTATATCACCAGTGCCAAAGAATGCTTCGGTTCTCAATATTCTCAATTTTGGGCCCCCAATTTTTGTTGTTGAAATAATGCGAGTCGAAGTATTTTCTGTCGTATTTTATATGACACCCGTTTACGCATAGAACGGTTGAATTTACGATATTTGATTTCTATCGGAATCGAACCGGAATTAAATTTTGGTTTAAATCACCGTAACAACGCATGTATACGAATTGGTTTCGTTTGTCTGTAGTATATAAAACTGCACGCAAGCACATACACGTTATTATAATCATTATTTTTCAGTGAGTGGGATTGTGTGTTACTGTTGATATTGGCACGAAGCACTGGTGCAGGGCTAAGGCCACCACCTTCAAACAACAGACAACAAGCAAGCGATAGTGCAAACAGTAATGACCAAAACATCGATACAATTCAAGACATCAATAGTGAATAGATGGACATTGATTCACTCCATGAAGTATACCCATACATTGCATTGAAAATAAATAAATAAGTTACAGTGTATTTATGAAAATATTGGGACAGAAAGATACAACTTCATTATTAAGTATATACTGGTATATAACCCAGTAGACCATCCTAATCAATGTACGAGAATTCGAGTACGAAGTCTTTGCAATTATTGGTAGGCTTTCTTTACAGAGAGTATTGTTTTAACCTTGGATGACGAGCAAAGCGTGTCGAGAGCGAAAGACATCCCCAAGAAGTCAAAGGCTGATAGAAAGTCTAAGACTCGAGGATTCAAATCCGACGCCATAGAGTGCGCAGTATTTATTCCGTATTACTTGTGTGCTTCTACGAACGTGATTACAACAGAAGAAGGCATAAACACAAATATTCGACAGATTGCACGCAGCTTCCCGTCGTCGCACCACGGGTGCTGCACAGGTATGTTGGGTATTCACTTTAATTCACGCACATTATTCTTTCAAACGTTTTTATCTATTTAATGCACGTAATTGGTTATTTACAGTCATTGGCTGATAGAAGCTACTGTGAGAGACATCTATGGGAGCTAATTGGAAACCATGGCCTTGGCGGAGTGATCATAGTACGCAGCAAAATGTGACGAGGCTTTCCATCGGTGGGTGTTAGCATAGAAATATCACGCAAGTATCCACCTCGGTTTCTTGTCAATGATGCACCAGGAATGGGCGACATATCTGTAAGTGCTACGTCCACGCTTAAAACCTCACAGAGTACTGTGGCCAAAGAGTCTACCTTAGTAGCGTTCGCTGTGCGGCAAATGCCGCGCAAGCGAGAGAATCATAACACTCCCTGCGATAGATTGACAATGGTATTATTGGCCTGATTTTTTACTCTCTGAATTCAAGTGAATAGTGTTCAAAACCATTTTGCTACACTTTCAATTTTCAAAACCATTTTGCTACACTTTCATTTTTCAAAACAATAAAGTGCCGCCATGGCCCTCTCTGGATTAGGGTCTCTGCTAAATTTACGATCGTCATCGGAAGAAACCTGATTTCTGCTCGCGACCAAACAAAATCCAAAAAAAAAACTCGTGGAGTAACTAGTTTACTCCGATTTGAATCTCCGCGAAAAATACTCGGTGCTAAAACTCGTTCAATTTCCAAACTCGATGAAAACTTTTCAAACAACTTGATAACTTTGTATATAAATGTGTAGTAGACTGTACGGTGTACAGTGTACACCGAGTTTATTAAAATATATGGAAACTAGGTATTTAGATGTCTGCTACCTCTCTCTCTAGAGAGAGACTACTATTTAGAGTGTATAAAGGTCCTAAAGCTCTAGGTTGAGAGCCCCACTAATGACTAGACGCCAGACGGGGCAGTCTCGTCCCTGGATGGTCCACGTGTTCAGGTGTCCAGGTGAGGCCTGTGGTCCTTAGCTGGGCCTCGGCAATAGCCGAGCCGCCAGTTAGATAGGCGGCCCGAAAATCGAAATGTAGTGGGACATAAGTCCGCTAGAACAGAGGGACGACTACGTGGTAGGTGCAGTATAAACGTTTTGAGGATGTTGGTGAAATGGTCTTATCAGTCCTGACCTAGGACTCTAGGACAGGGCTGTGTATATTAAATAAAACACGGCTGGGGCGCCGCAGAGACCAAATGCGTTTCAGCAAAGAGGGTAGCTAATGATCCGCACAGGGTGAGCTGAGGGTGAGATTTCTTGATGAACCTTGTCTCCCTCACTTTCACTCAACAAACACACAAATACGCACTGTTCTTCAGTCACACACGGCCACACTCTCACACATAAACACATTCACCCACGGGGAGGCGGGGGGGGGGGGGCGGAAAAAGCCCCCGGCCTTTTTTAGAAACAACTTTTCTTTTCAGCCGTCAATAACGAACCCACAAAAGTATGCTCTATTTTTTTTTGAAAAATAAATTCCATTAAGGATCCCTCGGAGGGCCTCTTTTGGGCCTACAAATGGGGAAAAAGCGTTTCGGACAAAAAAGCGTTCCGGACAGATTTCAAGTTCAATAAAAGGGGACTCTACAGCTACGCTTTCGGTGATAAAATGTACTGTTTTGTCGAATTTAGAAGGCTATGAGTTTGTAGTATATACCGAGTACCACCTTATATTTACGATGCCATGCACTGGGGGGGAGTCTGGGACTGCATTTCGCAATTGCCACTCAGCCACCGGGATTAGGGCATAGGCCCATGGCCTTAAGCCTATAGGCCATAGCCTTAAGCCTATAAGTCTTAGCCTTCTATATAATTCAGACGGCTATGTATGACTCAGCAGTCAGCACTCGGCACTGAGCACTCAGGCCCAGGGCTCAGGGACAGTTTTCAAAAATAAATAAATTAGGGCCTGCGTTCCGTTCGGCACTCCACTGAGTCAACTCCTTGTCAACTGTCATCAATGTCAACTGTCAAGCCCACTCAAGTCTCACAGTCTCCTTGATGAGGGATTTTTCTCATTTGCTCCAAGTTCACACGCTGTATCATTAGTGGTTTGCACAGGCCACAGGGCACAGTGGTATTCAGTAATATTTCTGTATTAGACGTACTTACGGAACATATCCACTATTCAGGATGTTACTAGATGCTCTAGCTACTAGTGTTAGGATTTTTGATGTGTACTATATACACATAAAGCGATTTTTTTAACACATATTTAAGTTTGTTTCTTGGTGCTTGTGTTCGTCGAGTACTACCCTGATAGGTATACCAAAAAAAATGAACCCATGAGAGGTTCTTGAGACTTTTCTAAGATTACACCTTTGTGTATTAATGTTAGTTTATGTGTACATAGTTATATGACATTTTTCTATATATATATATATATATATATTATATCTGTATATATGTGCATATGTATATATGTATGTATGTATGTATGTGTGTATGTGTCTG